ATATTTTTAATTGGCACAGGTCACCCATTGATATTTTAGTTGGCACAGGCCACCCATTGATATTTTAGTTGGCACAGCTCACCCATTGTTATTTTAATTGGCACAGGTCACCAATTGTTATTTTAATAGGCACAGGCCACCCATTGTTATTTTAATTGGTACAGGTCAGAAGAACAACCGACTCAAAGGATTCATCAACAACAATGTGAACATGCAACTGCTGCTGAAAGATATTAAGCGCGATTTCGACCAGTCCGATGACGAGGCAGAACCCAATGGAAAGCCTAAAAATCCGAAGTACCCTAGCAACCCTGAAACCCCTTTTGATACTACCAAAACGGGAATTAGTAGTAAATCGCAGTTGAGCCATCCCAAATTCATCAAATTGGCTTCCGTTTTGGACGAGCACTTTTTGAAAAACGGCAAAGACTCGCGCGTGATGGTGTTTGCGCATTACCGCGACACGGTAGTAGAGATTGTCAAACGGCTCAAGAAGGAGCCCAACTTCAAGGTATGTCTCACACACTGACACGTGCATAGTGGCATCCACACGCACTGTTGCATAGGCCAGGTGCACCTGTGGTCAAACGTGCACTGTGATGTGGCTGTTATGGGTTATTCCCCCTATGCCCTCACTCACCACGTGCGTGTGTGTGGCTATCTGTTGGTTTGCCTGAGGGTTATACTTGTTCTGTTTCTGACAACCTTCGCTTACCATCGTATGCTCAGGTCAGCATGTTCATCGGCCAATCAGATGGCAAGAACCATAGCGGTCTCAAGCAGCGCGAACAGCTGGAAGGTCAGTCTCATGTCATAACGCTAACCCTAAAACTCTGGAACGAACGCTAACCTCGTGTATGCTCGCATACGCTCGTTCTCGTGTTCTTTGTGTCTGTGTGTACAATGTAGTGTACATGGGTATGTGCTCCATACACCCAGAATAGTACGTATACTATTGTGATTTTAGGTGTGTTCATTGTGTCTGTGTGTACATGGTATAGTGAACATAGGTATGTGCTCCATACACTCTGAATTGTACGTATACCATTGTGATTGGAAATGTGTTCTGCTCATTTGTGATTAAGGGTTTAGTTGTGGTGTACGTGCACAGCCAGTGACCGCAGGTGAATGGCAACAGTTGAACAGTCGATCGCAACGGAATGTCCGCAATCACCTTCCGCGTGCTTACCTGTCTGCTGCGACACGAGTCTTTGCCACACAGGTGTACAGACATACCGTTTGCTAAACAATACTTTCTATTAGCATATCCTCCTTATCGTGTATGGTTCTTATATGAAACCTTCACTTACACACTCTCTAATAGCATCACATCCTTATCATAATACATACACTTGCACTCTCTCTATTAGCATCACATCCTTATCATGATACATACAATAGCACACTCTTTATTAGCATCACATCCTTTTCGTGTATGGTGCTTTCATGGTACCTTCACTTACAGTTGGGGTGTCTGCCTCATTTCTTCTCTCAACACCTCTGATCATTTGTATCTTCATATTTTCTGCATACGCAGTGCTGTCTAAATTCCGTGCGGGTGAGTTGAATGTGCTGGTGTCCACGAGTGTTGGTGAGGAAGGCCTTGATATCGGGGTAAGTTTGTGTAGCGGTGGAGGTGTGTCTGTTGTGTGCCGTTGAGAGAGTCTCGGTGGTTTCTCCTGTGGGTTATATGTAGACACGGACTGGGCTGAGACGTTTAATTTGGCTTATTTTTGTATCACAAACTTGTATTGAGATTGTTTATATGGCGTTTTTATTATCAAAACTTCTTGTTGAGATAAATTTTTTGGTCTCTTATGTATCAGAACCTTGTGCTGGAACTATTGATTTCGCTTTTATGTATCAGAACTTTGCGTTGTAGTAATTTGGCTTCTTGTATTAGCACCTCGTGTTGGGTCAATAAATTTAGCTTTTATGCACCAGAACTTCGTGTCGAGATTCTTGATTTGGCTTTTATGTATCAGAACCTTGTGTTGAGATAATTAATATGGCTTATATGCACCAGAAATTTATGTTGGGATTTTTGATTTGGCTCTATGTATCACAACCTTGTGTTCAGGCATAATTTGGCTTTTATGCACCAGGTTTTGTGTTGGAATTCTGGATTTGGCTTTTATGTATCAGAACCTTGTGTTGAGATAATTAATTGGGCTTATATGCACCAGAACTTTGTGTTGGGTTTTTGATTTTGCTTTATGTATCACAACCTTGTGTTGAGATAATTAATTTGGCTTTCATGTATCTTGCTCTAGATGACTTTGACTGTTCGGTTGAGCGGGCTGATAGGTTCAGGACAAGTGTGTTCATAATAAAGTGGTCTACGTGTACCATCAAGTTGCTCCAATTTAAGAATGCGATAGAAAATAACAGGGTTTAGGGTTTTGGTTTTCTAGGCCGCTCAAACGCGCCTTGTAGTGCCTTAGTCGGGTGTACTGTCCAATGGTAGGCTTTAGGGTTGCAGAGGTTTGCCTACATTCTGTGGGTTTTAGACCCACATTCTAACTGTACTACCTTCCTTGCGATGCACTACTCACACTCACGCATAACAACAAATTCTGTCCCCACATATGACTACCGTAGGATCTGGATCTGATCATCTGCTTTGACGCACAACAGTCGCACACTCGGCTGGTGCAGCGCATGGGCCGCACAGGCCGAAAGCGACAGGGCCATGTGGTCATGCTAGTCACCGAGGGCAGAGAAGCCGCCAAGTACAACAACTCCCTCCGCACAAAGAACGGTACGTGCGTGTATCTTATCTCTGCGTGTGTGTACTGTCCTTAGGTAGGTAGATGGAACCCTAAACCCTAAAATCCAAAAACTTTAAAATAAACCGAGCCTTCCACCACCATCGGAAAAGCCGGGTCATGCGGTCTCATCACTTGCCTTTGTGTTTCAGGTATCTCCAAAGTCATTAACAAGAACCGCGGCACTCTGCCCTTCTACGCCCTCAACGCTGACATGGTGCCACCGGATGTGGAACTCAAATGCCGCATGGTCAACATCAACGTCACCGCACCATTCGACCGCAACTACACCACTGGCCGAGGTCAACGCACTTCAAAAGGTGTGTGTGTGTGTTTACCTTTTCAGAGGTCAATGGTTTCCTATAAGGTGTGTGTTTAAACATTCAGAGGTATGGTTTCCTATAGGGTGTGTGTGTGTTTACACCTTCACAGGTTTGTAGTTTGGTTTTAGGGTTTTTAGGGTTTAACACATTTAGTGGTTTATCGTTCCCCGTGGCATAGTGTAGTACAGGTATGATGCATTAGTGAATACTGATGACACTATTCATTCTGAACATTTGGGCCAAACACTGCGGGCGACGGTAGTGCGTTAGTTCACGACTACGAAGACTAAATGCGATTTTTAAGGTTACGAAGGCTGCAGCTCCAACGCACGCACTTCTATGCACAAGTGATCTTTGTTGCCTATCAGGTGTTGATCATCCCTGCTATATACATTGAAACCCTAAAACGCTTAAAATCCCTAAAACCCTAAAACCCTAAACCCCGCTCGTGCATTACATCACATTTTCACACAGCCCTCAAGAGTCCTGCGGACGGTGGCTTAACGGCAGAAGAGGAGTTGGCATGCGCAAAAGCATACGGTGACTGTGGACCAATACAATCGCTCAAACTCCATGCGCACCTGAGCAAACAGAAGAGACTCTCCTCAGTGAACAAGGCCACCCACACCCACCGCACACACACCATGGCCAAGTATGTCCTGTTCATTATAGTTATAGGTATAACATCCACTGCACACACGCCATGGCCAAGTATGTCCTGTTCATCATAGTCATAGCCATGTGTATAACACCCACTGCACACACACCATGACCAAGTTTTTCCTGTTCATTATAGTCATAGTCATATGTAAAACACCCATTACACACAAACCATGGCCAAGTATGTTCTGTCCATTATAATTATAGGTATAACATCCACTGACACACATCATGGCCAAGTATGCCCTGTTCATTGCACTCGCCCTGTAGTTATGTGTGCATCATGTTCTGTGTACTTCATTTGCTCACATTTGGATTACATTGATCTACTCAGTGATCGACCAATAGTCGTGTACTTCCTTTTCACCATGCGAGGCAGTCTTTGCTGCTTTGCACTGTGTGGCACTGTTTTATCTTTGTTGTACTACAGCTTAAACAACTAATAATCTTGCATGGTTTACGTTGCAGATTGTCTGTTCTTTTGTTGTACTACATATGCTTAAGTCGTTGCCAGTGTGTCAGTTACATTCCCTGGTGCACCTTCTGCGTCTGATAATTAATAATCGTTCATGGTTTGCGTTGCAGAGTGCTGCAGCTGATTGATGATCTGATCATTGACCCAGACACAGTGGATGGCTTCATGGCCGACTGGTCAGTGCACCTGTACCCACATGACGGTAGGATGGTCGTTACTTTTCGCATCACATCGAAGTCTCATCACGTGCACCCTAATGCGTTTGTGTGCACTGTGTTGTCTTCGTTCGTATGCACTGTGTTGTCTTCGTTCGTATACACTGTGTTGTCTTCGTTCGTATGCACTGTGTGGTCTTTGCTTTGAGATGATATCGGGCAGCCATACGATGACCACACCAGACACCAATGATCACAAGCACACCCCACTGCCCATTCGCCCTGTGTACTATGGATGCCATTCACCAATGACCACATGCACACCCCACTGCTCATATGCCCTGTGTACTTGTGTGTTGTGATTGGGATTGCCGGATAGTTAATCAACCATCTGAGCTGGCACATGACATGCCGTCTCAGTTATTCGTTTTTTTGATTCCGTACAGTGTACGCGTTAGTTTTATCGGACAGCGACTGCCCAGAAAGTCCACTGCCACGCCACCGCAAGACACTCAACATACCACCACAGTCCAACAAACACAGCGCATCAGCCAGTGGCACCAGTGTCGACAGCCGCTGCTGTGAGCGAACGAGACCTGTGCAGCTCAGCCGAACACACCATTCCAACACACCACACGCCCAACCACACAGTGTGTATGCCCTGTGGCTGCGTGTCTGTTGTGTCGTGTGGCTGATACTCGATGTGTTGTGTGTTGTGTGTTGTGTGTTGTGTGTTGTGTGTTGTGTGTTGTGTGTTGTGTGTTGTGTGTTGTGTGTTGTGTAGTTGTGTTGTGAGTTGTGTGTTGTGTGTTGTGTGTTGTGT